CTCTCTCTCTCTCTCTCTCTCTCTCTCTCTCGCGCGCGCGCGCGCGTGTGTTTAACTATGTCCGATATTGCCCATTTACACACACGCACACACACACACACACATGCTCGGTTTGCTGCATGTGGCGGCAGGTTTTCGCGGGACTTTGGCACGGGGATGCCGATGCTGATACCCGACAGCGACGGCACGTGGTATCTGGAGGGAACAACGCCCCCGTCACAGGGCGGGCAGGGCTACCAGGCATCACAACACCAGCAGCAGCAGCAGCAGGCGAATCATGATCACCCGCAACAGGCAGCACAAGCACCGCAGCAGCAACAGCAACAGCATATGGGCAGTCACCTATCCCAAGGCGTCACTGTGTCCACACCAGATGGTTGGTTTGTGTGTGTGTGTGTATGTGTGAGCATATGTATATGTGTGTGTGTGTGAGCATATGTATATGTGTGCGTGTGTGTGTAGGTAACTCTTTTTCTTCTTCTTTTCCTTGTTTGCGCATGAGCATCTATACCACATGTCGCAGCCCCCCCCCCCACACGCACACGTTTTGCCTCATGTGTGCGTCTCCCCGAACCTTGCTCCGTCTGTCCCTTGCTGGTGCATCGCAGACATACGACAGATGCCTGCAGGCACGGCATTGATTGCGCTGTACGACTACGACGGAAACCACGATGACGAGCTCTCCTTCAAGGCAAATGACATTATTACCCTCGACTCCGCAACAGAGGTACAGCCAATGCTCTGAATTGTGCATGTGTGTGTATGTGTGTGTGTGTATTTGTGTGTGTGTGTGTGTGTGTGTGCCTTCTGTTCAAGCGACAGGCACTCCTTCCCCCTCATCTTCTCGCTGCGCTTGCATCTTGGTCCACCACTGCCACCACAATCACCGCCACTGCAGTGCGAAGCCGGATGGTTGAGAGGAACGCACACGACGTCAGGAAAGCTGGGCATATTCCCAGGTGTGTGTGTGTGTGTGTGTGTGTGTGTGTGTGTGTGTGTGTGTGTGTGTGTGTGTGTGTGTGTGTGTGTGTGTGAGCGCGCGTGTGTGTGTGTTATCACTGATGTGAACATTCTCAACGGACTCACTGCTCACCACCCCACACACCCACCGACCCACACCCACACCCACACACCAACACACCCACCGACCCACACCCACACACCCACACCCACACCCACCCACCCACCCACCCACCCACACACACACACACACACACACACACACACACACACACACAACACACACACACACACACACACACACACACACACACACACACACACACAACACACACACACACACACACAACACACACACACACACACACACGACACACACAGGGAATTACGTGGCAGTAAGCAGCTGAGCCTGCTGCATTCTTACGTTACACCAAGACCCAAACAGCACGTGACACAGTGGCTGCACGCGCCCACACACCTCATCATCACTCACTCATGCCACCTTGACCTCTTTTTTTTTCTTCTTCTTTTTCTTGTTTAATTCTACATGCGCGTTCTGTCATTGCAAGCGATGTGTCGCTGATTGTGCACCAACGCCCGCCCGCCCTGTCGCCCTATCTTCTTTCGTTTCGTTTTTTTTTCTCTTCGCTCTCTCAACATTCGCGCAGTCTGTCCTCTCTGCTCTGCTGAGGGTTTGCACTGCGGTTGTTGTTCTGCTGGTGCTGGCGCGGTGTTTCACCGATTGATGGCGACTGAGGTTGTGTCATAAGGGGTTACAACATCTTCGCATGGCAGTTGTATTTGTTTCCCACAGCCATGTCAAATCTACACTTTGCTCGCTTGTCGCGGCCACATGCACCCCGTTGCCGTTGTTCCAAACGTGTCATCACGCTGTTGTTGCACCAACAGCTCCCCCCCCCCACATACTCTCTCTGCCTGGTTGCGTCTCTTTGGGGGCTGTTTCACCATCTATGTGACGTTTATTGCACAAAGACAACACTTAAGGCAAGTAAGCGAGCAAGAAAGCAGATAGGCCGGGGCAACAGATGTGCGTAGTTGTACATGAAAAGAACCAGGCTCGGTGGCGGGGAAGCCAAAACCAAACGAAGCCATGATGTGGCAGCGACTGCACAGGAACAGGATGGTGCCCCACTGGTGTAACGGCTGGTGTGGAACAAAGAACCAAAGCTCAAGACAAAAACTGAACAACGGCATGTTGAATGTCATTGTCATCCTCAAACAAACAAAACAAACAAACGAAAAAAAAAAAACAAACCCCCAAACGCATCAAGGTCTGCCTATCCCTCCTCCCCTCGCCAACACCCTCCCCTCTTCCCCACTTGCTTGGTACGTTTCGCGCGATGCTCTACAAGCCCTCAGCCCACACGATCCACACAAGCCCTCAGCCCACACGATCCACACAACCCACACGTCCACGCATGCATACATTCTCCCCCACATCCAACACCACGGCTCCACCACCACCACGCTGCGTGCTTTGCATCAACTGGTTGCCTGCAGGCATGCCCCCATTTCATAGCAGGTACTTGAATGCCGCGGCGGTGATGACGGCTGCGGCAGCGGAGACAGCGACCAGCTCTGCCCGGCGCCAGAAGCGCGCTTCCCGCAGCAACTCCTGCTGCTCAGCGTGCAGCTGCTCATAGAGCTGCCGCAGGGCCACCAGTTCCTGCGCCGACAGCTGGGCTGCACTCGCCACCTGCATCGTGCTCTGCGGCTGCATGGCTGCCAGTGTGTTGGGGGCGGCGCCCGTGGTGTGGAAGCCGTGGTGTGGCTGGTGGTGGTGCTGGTCCCGCTGTGCATCGTAGTGCGCGTGCTGTGTAACAGCGGCTGATGCTTGCGGTGGCGGTGCGGCGCTGCTGGCGAGGGGCGCCTTGCGCTTCGTTGGTGTCGCCCTCTTGGCCACGGGCGGCTTGGGCGACGGAAAGTCCAGCGGCGAGTTCACGTGCGGGTAACCGGGCGACGTTGGCGCGAGGGCTGCCGACCGCGGCTCAATGACAATGCTTGCAGGCACGGTGGTGGCGCCGCTGCATGCGCTTGTGGTGGTGGACACGGGCGTTGCGCTGGACGGCGCGCTGTCGGAGTCCTCCCGCTCCTCGCAGATGGTCTCGAAGGGCGTGGACACGGAGGCGCGGCGGCGGCGGCGCAGCTCGGGACTGCGCGTGTCGCGGGCACCGCCGCCGCCGTGTGTCGGCGAGCGTGTTGGAGAGCGCGAAGGCGACTGCGCCTCGTCCATCGGTGCAAATGTAAACTGCTGCTCCAGAAGGAAGGTGGGCACGCTTCTGGGTGACGCAGCGGCGTCGTCCGCGTACTCCTCGTCATCTGCCTGGCCTGCGCAATCCTGCTGCTCCATCTGCTGGTGCTCCATCTGCTGGTGGTGCTGTTGGTGCTGGTGTGCTGCCGCGCGCTCGACGGCGGGGCGCGTGCACTTTGCGGAGACGGCGGAGGCGGCGATGGACGACTCCGCCACGATGGGCGCCACGCTCTGGCGGCGGCTGGCCGACCGCATCACGTACATGGCAACCTCGTCGTCGTCCACGGGAATGTCATCGTCGCCCTCTGCATCTGGCATGCCGGACGGGCGGCGCGATGCCGGCCCTTGTGGGATCGGGCATTGTGGGCGACCCGAGTTTGACTCCAGCGTGCTCGAGTACGCCAGGTAGTCTGCCATGCTCTGTAGGAAGGAAGAGCGGCGGCGGTGTGCGCCAGACCGCTGCTCCGTCTCGTAGCCGGCCTTGCTCGGGCTCATCGCGCGCAGGTCATCACCAGCCCAAATGTTCTGGCCAAGCATGGAGATGAGGGACCCTTTCTTTCCGAGCGTGGTGGACCCCTCAGCACCGCTTTGTGATGCGCGCTTGGTCTGCCCGCGGTCCGAGCCCGCCAGCTCTTGCTCGTCAGAGCATGTGTTCAGCATGGCCTCGCGGCTCGGGCGCGAAGGAACAGAGTCCATCTTGTCTGTTTGCTGTTCAGTCGGAGACGTGAAAAAAGGAAACGGAAGAGGAGAGAGAGCAGAGGGGAGGGGGAGGGTGTTGCTCAGGGCTCACGAGGAAAGGAGAGTGACCAGGCTCACAGATGAAGGTTCGAAGGTCAACTCGAACAACGATAGATGTTGTGGTTTTGGACGATTGACTTCTGTGGTTGTCGTTCGGGTAAGGAGGGAAATGGGTGTTGCTTGTTGAGGTTGATGATGGGTGTGGGATAATGAATGGGGTGTGGGGACAGGTCAGTCAGTCAGTCAGGTCAGTCGGTTGGCTGGTTTGGCTTGCTGGTTGGTTGGTGATTGGCTGTGTGCACAAGATCGCTGGCTGGCGGTGGCTGTGGTTGTTGGCATTGCATGCCTTTGGGTTGGCTGAGGGAATGCGGAATTTGGCCTGACCATCTCGACTGTTGCGCAGCGTTGCGTTGCAGCTCCTCATCGCCACTAATGAAATTCACCCCAAGATACCAGCAAATCGCCAACACTTGACGGCGCGACACACGACATACAAAAATACAGACAGGCAACAACGGCAGCTCAGTTTGTTTGTGTTGAGTGTGAGCGAGTGCGAGTGGAACAGTCGAAGTGTGAGCTGAGCCAAGCGAGGTCTGTGAGCGTGCACACGAGGATTGGGACCGCAGCTGCACGCAGCACGCACGTGGTGGTTGTGGTGAAGGTCTTTCGCACGGCGTCTTGAGCACAGCCGACGATGAGCTTGCAAAGCAAGTTTGAGCAGTTTCGCACTCGCGTTGGCGAGTTTAAAGGCAAGCTAGCTGATCGCCAGAAGAAGGCAGCCTTCCTCGATGATGGCGACCAGCAGGTCAGCAATGTGTGTGCAGTGTGTGCAGTGTGTGCAGTGTGTGTGTATGTGTGTGCAGTGTGTGCAGTGCGTGCGCGTGTTTGTGCAGTGTGTGCAGTGCGTGCGCGTGTTTGTGTGGCTGGCTGTTACGGACTGCCCCAGCTCACGTGACAGGTGAACACACACACATACATACATACACACACACACACACACACACTGGATGACAGTTGGAGCATGAGGTGTTTGGGATGCGGGATGGCCTGAAGGTCCTGTTGGCAAAGGAGCACGAGCATCATCCCGTGGACGAGGTGAGATGAGTATGCCACTGCTTATCGTGTTGTTGTTCCTGGTGATGGTTGGTCGGCGATGGTGGCAACATAACAGGCAGGGGAGCATCTGCAAGGAGTCGATTGTGTGTGTGTGTGTGTGTGTGTGTGTGTGTGTGTGTGTGTGTGTGTGTGTGTGTGTGTGTGTGTGTGTGTGTGTGTGTGTGCCAGCCATGTTTGCCTCACCCCGTGCTGTTCCGCTTGCGACATGACGACAGCGCAAGATACCACTGTACAACCTCGGGGCGAAGATGATGCAGGCGGGGAAAAACATCGGCGACACCACCACATTCGGGTGTGTCCAGTGATTGGTTGTGTAATGGAACAACGGGTGCAGCCCCGCTCGAAGCGAGCAATGCAGTGCACATGTCGAGCAAGGGGTGTCAACACCTGCTTTGAAGTACCACGATTGCTCCCTTGTGTGGCCGTGTGCAGCTGCCATGAGATCCTAACCATATCACATGTGTGTGTGTGTGTGTGTGTGTGTGTGTGTGTGTGTGTGTGTGTGTGTGTGTGTGTGTGTGTGTGTGCACAGGGCCTTCTACACAAAAGTGGGCCGCCTTCAGTTGGATCTGGGACAAATGCAGTGCATGCACAACAAAACTGTCCACGCGCAAGTGCACGAACCGCTTCGCGCCGACCTGGAGCAGGACTTTCCGGTACACGAGAAGAGGAGAGATGGAGAGACAGGGAAGAGGGGGGCGGGCGTGTTTGTGAGTGAGTGAGTGTGTGTATGTTTGTGTGTGTGTGTGTGTGAGTGAGTGAGTGAGTGAATGAGTGAGTGAGTGATGTATGTGTTTGTGTGTGTGTGTGTTTGTGAGTGAGTGAGTGGGTGAGTGAGTGAGTGAGTGAGTGTGATCACGTGCACACGCGCGTGTACATGGGGTTGATATGAGCGGTGCGTATTTGCCAGGACGTTTTGCGTGTGCTGTGATGTTGATTTCACAGTGCACTTCATTGTCGGTACACAGAAACTGGCGCAGGCACGCAAGAAGTTACAGGCGCAGCATCAGGAAAAGGATGCCGCTTCCGCCAGGTGAGCAGTAGCGCTGCGTGCACTTTTATTCCTATTCCTTCTTCAGCGCAACCCATCCCTTCACGGTTGCTTACACACACACACACACACATACACACTCCGTTTCCTCCCTCCCTCTCTGTCTATTGTCCCCCATCTCTCTGTCTCTCCCCCTCCCCTCGCACACACACACGCGACGCAGGTTTGCGCAGGCATGTGCGAAGGTGCACAAGCAAGGATACAGCGGGTCTGGGGGCAAAGTCGACAACATCAAGGAGGAGATGGAAGAGGCGATGGCCGCTCTCCAGTCAACCAAGGTGTACTGTGTGGCTGTCTGTATGTTGTTGGTGTGTGCGTCAAATTTTGCGCGAATACGTCTGTGTACATGTTTGTTTGTGTGTGTGTGTGTACATGTTTGTGTATGTATGAATGTGTGTGTTGGATGCGGAGCTCGTCGCTGTTTTTCGTGATGTGCGCCAGCGAGAGTACGATGCCACACACACGCACACATACACAGCACGTAAGTCACCACCACCATGACCACCACGACCACCACGACCACCATGGCCACCACGACCACCACCACAGACGCAATACGTTGAGCAGCTGGTGGACGTGGCCGCGCGGGAGCGCTTTGTGATGGAAAAACTGCAGCACATGCTTGAGGAGCAACTCCGCCTACACGAGGTGTGGTTGGGGGGGGGGTGCGTATGTGCGTTTGTGTGTGTGTGTGTGTGCGTATGTGTGTGTGTGTGTGTGCGTTAGTGTGTTTGTTTGTGTGCTCGCACCAACCAGCAATGCACAATGAGCTTGTTGCTCTTCCGCTGGCAAACGGCAATACCCTCACCCCATACATGCACCTGCACCTGCACATACACACGCGCGCGCGTGTGTGTATTCGCCTGCGTAGAGTGCATGCGAGCTGATCCGCGCTGCTTTGCCGTCATTGCGGGAACTCAAGGACACGGCCGCCTCCCGCAAAGTCTTTGGTGCGCACCAGTGACGTGTTGTGTTTGTGTATGCGAAGAGCAAGCAGCCCATGACCATGACCACGACACAAACGCGACTGCTCACCCACCACCACCACCACCACCATCATCATCATCATCACCACCACTAGGAGTGGGGCTGCCCTCGAGCGGCGTTGACCCGGTCCTCGCGCAGCTCGCCGCCACCATCAACCGCGATGGCCTCAATGTGCAGGGCCTCTTCAGACGCGCAGGTGATTTTATCCCCGGCAACAGCGCGATTAGAGGAGGGCGAGGGGCATCTGTGTGCTGATTGGTGCTCATGGTGTGCGGTGGGCGCGATCGTGTTGGTGGTGCTGTTGTCTTGTGATCCAAGGAATTGGGGCGTTTGCTGTGACCGCCTGACCTCCTATCCGCCTGTTTCAACCGAGAGCACCTCATCGCACCTTCCGTCTCCCCCCTCTCTGCTCCTCTCCTCGGATGCAACTGCCCGTGCCACCAGGCTCCGCTGTTGCCATTCGACAGCTCAAAGCCGATCTGAACAGCAAGCGCGCGGACCTTCGCACGCGCTGCACCACGGAGCGACAGATGCACGCTATTGCCAACGCCTTCAAGGTGCGGCCGGCTGTGCAAGCTGACTAGTGGTGCTTCATAGCGAGTGTGTATGTGTGCGTGTTTATGCGTGTTTATGCGTGTGCGTGTTCATGTGTGTGTGTGTGTGTGCTAATGCGTGTGCGTGTTTATGCGTGTGTGTGTGTGTGCTTTTGATACACTTATTGTTGCGTCAGCTGCCGTGCATCCGCAATACCACCGGCATCACTCCCTCGTCCCAATGCCCACCGCTTACTCATCAATTTCTCACAACCACCAACCTTTGCCTTTCGCTTGCAGATGTATCTTCGCGAGATGCCCGACTGTCTGTTGACGACGGCGCTGTACCCAGAGTGGATGGCCGCTGCCCGCACTCCAGACCACAACGACCGCCTTTACGCAATCCAGGTACACGCGCGCGCGTGTGTGCGTGTGCGTGTGTGTATGAGTGTATGCGTCTGCATTGTATGCGTGCGTGATGGTCCGCCGAGTGAGCTCATACCCGCTTTCATATCTTTCAATCATTTGCAGGCTCTTCTGGAGAAGTTGCCGCGTCCAAATTTCGTTACGCTTCGCTTCCTCGCCCGTTTCTTGCATCACGTCAGCCTTCACGCTGAGGTACTGTGGACACACAGCCAGCCAGCCAGACAGCCAGCCAGCCAGCCAGCCAGACAGACACACAGACACACACAGACAGACACACACACACACAGACACACAGACAGACACACACACACACACATGCACATTCCCTCATGTGTCCCGCCCTTTCGCACCTCCCGCCCTTTTTTTCCTGATAGCAAACGAAGATGGAAGCGCGCAACCTTGGCATTGTCATTGGTCCAAATCTTGGCTGGCCGGCGGATCATGAGACAAATGCCATGTACTCTGCAACAGATAGCGGCCCGCTGGTACGCCCACTCCTCTCCCATGCTCACAGCTTCTGCCACGCTGTGTTCTTCCTCTCTTGCATGCAGATTTGTGTCATGGTGTGCGCTGTGCGGACATCACATATCCACACGCCGACACACACACACACACACACACACCGACACACACACACACACACACACACACACACACACACACACACACACACACACACACACACACACACACACACACACACACACACACACACACACACACACACACACACAGGCCTTTTGATTGCTATCTCCACATTCGGTCCCATGTTCTCACTTTGTCTTGCTTGTGTTGCTGAACGGTGCGTTGTCTGAGCAGAGCAGTTTGTGCGAGGCCTTCATAACCTACAACGAATGGCTCTTTCCCAAAGAGGAAGGCGAGCTTGCTGGCGACATCACGGACCCATATTCCGTTCCAAACGCCCCGCCCCCTCCGCCAGCAGCCCGCCGCGCATCCTCCCTCCTCGTGAACTTGCCACCAACACCAGACACCACAGGGACCGCTGCACCACAGCCACCATCACCGTTCGTGCCCAACCCGGGGGCGACCACCACTGCGGCCACAGCAGCAACCGCAACGCCACCATCGACAACACCGCTTTCGTCCACGTCGAGTGCGCCGCCGCCGTTGCCATCTCCCATGTCCAAACCATCGCTCGTTCTCGGACACGGCCACAGTGGCAACGATGGTGGTGATGGGGATGGTGGTGATGGGCATGGTGATGGGGATGGTGGTGATGTGTTCACCGGCAGCAGGCGTCCTGCCACCACGAGTGGTGCCTTTGATTTCGATGATGATGATTACGATGATGATGACGATGGTGCGCGGTCAGAAGAGGACTGGGACGATGATGTTGACGACGATGGTGCCGACACCAGCGGCGGTACGCACATTACTACATCCCATGTTAAAGCAGTACACCAGCAACTCCACCAACACCAACAGCGGCAGCATCCACCGAACAGTGCTTTGCCACCAAAACCAACACTTAAGCCCGAGCGGCCCCGCCCACCAGCCAGACCTCCGGTGTGTGTATGTATGTGTTGGTATTCGCGCGTGTGTGAGAGGGCATGTCTTTGCATCTCTATGTGTGTGTTGGTTGTGTTTGTCTCCCCGTGTCCCCTTTGCGGTCAATCGGTTTGGGTTCAGGTCGTGCCTATGTACTGACTGTACTGTGGAACGGTGAAATTGCTTGCATGCAGCGACCGGCACCCCCTGGTCGACCAAAGGCTCCTCTCCTGGTAAGAATAGATATGAACAAACACACATGCGCGTCGTACATGCACACAGATCAAACGTACACCGCACGTGCGCACACTACCCGTGACAAACGCATTTCCATCCATACATGACATTCTCCCCATCCCTTACAACTCACCCCAAAATGGCCAACACAACCATGCACACAACACATTTCCAGCCCCCAAAACCCGGAAAACCATGACGCAATCAAGGCGCCAAGGGAAAGAAGGCAAGCAAGGCAGTGTGCAAGCCTGAATGCACGCACACACACACACGCAGCAAACACAAACGCAGCAAATGCAACTCAAACCACACACTGTTAATCGCACAGCAAAGACACACACACACACACACACATGCACGTTGCGCATCAGGTTCGCGCGTTCTATGTTCAAGTGCCAGCTCAACAAGACCATAAACAACACAAACGCTTAACGTGCACGTGCACTCGTGTGTTAAAAGCGGATGAATGCCCATAATTGGTGTGGTAACGAATTAGACTGAAGCATCAAGTCATCTCCATGCCATCGTTAAGTACCAAAACGCCCACGCCGTGATGTTACACGATGCAAACGCAAGGCATCTGCCATCAAGGCGTGGCATGTTATGGCGTGGTGCACCATGTCACATCACGTCATGCCATCCCCCCTCCAAAACAAAAATAATTGTTGCCACCTCCTTGCAGGCCGCCATCAGTGCAGGGTGCTGCGAAGTGCTGCGTTCTGCAAGTGCTTGTGGCTCCGCTTCACCAACGACGCTGTTCGCACGCGCCCCACCGCCGCTGCTGTCGCTGCTGACGATGTCGATGATGATGCCGTTGAGCCGGCGCGTGATCGTGCTGGCGACGACGCAACACCGTGCCCGCGCACAACCCGACCACCGCCACTGCTACCGCCACTGCCGCTGCCAGCAGCAGTACGTGCACGTGTTGACGCGCGGGCCGAGGCCGAGGTTGGTGTTGGTGGTGTTGGCCGTCCACGCGATGGCGTGACTGTCACCACAGGCCGTGTCTTGGAAGGCGTTGTTGTTGCTGTTTTGGTTGACGTCGTTGCCGTTTTGGTCGATGCTGCTCTCCCAGTGGATGTCGCTGTGCGTCGCACGCCCGCACCACCACCTCTGGTTGTGGCAGCTGTCTTTGTCTTTGATGCGCCTGCGGCCTTGGTGACCGTTGGTGCCGCTGCTGTTGGTGCTGACGTCTTGCCGAATGCAACGGGCGACGCCGGCGACGAGAGCGAGGACGGCGGTGTCGCAACGTGGGCTGCATCATCGGTTGCGCGGCGCGGGGCACGGCGCGGTGTTGCTGGCGACGACGATGTTGATGATACGAGCACCGTTGAAGATGAAGTTGATCGCTTCACCCTGCGCACCTCACTGGTCGCCGCTGCCACGGGCGGCGACGAAGACACTTTGCTGCGCGCACCCTTTGCACCGGCCGTTCGGCGTGTCGGCGTGCTCTTGCGCCCACCACGACCACCCCCACCACTGCTGCTCTGGGGGCGCTGTGGCGTCGAGCTTCGGCTGCGTCCGCTCCGGCTGGCGCTTGTTCTCGACCGCGACTTGTGCTCGCGCGGCGATGGTGATGATGAGACGCGCGGCGATGATGCTGGGGACGCCTTTGCTCGCGTCTTGCTCGGCTTCTGTTTGCCGCGTGAAGGCGATGCACGCTTGCGAGACGGGGACGATGTTGGCGATGTTGGCGACGACGGGGACACGGATCGCGCCGATGCGGGCCGCTGTTGACGCCGGGGACTCCGCTGTGCAGCGGCCTCAAGCTTCTCGCGCAGGCCACGGCTGGACGGTGGTGTTGTGGTGGGTGTGGTTGTATGAAGGAGTGCGTGCGTGTGTGTGTGCGTGCGTGCGTGCGTGTGTGTGTGAGTGAGTGAGTGAGTGAGTGTGTGTGTGTGGGCGAGTGAGTGTGTGTGAGTGTGTGTGTGGGCGAGTGAGTGAGTGAGTGAGTGAGTGAGTGAGTGAGTGAGTGAGTGAGTGAGTGAGTGAGTGAACCAACAAGTGGCTGATTCAATGAACACCAGGAATTCACGATCACATGCTGCGCGTTCGAGTTATTGACAAACTTACTTTTCCTTCAGTGCATCGGCAAGCTGCTGGTGCAATTCCTCAATCTCCTTCAGTTGGCTGTCGTGCAGGCGCTCGTACTCGATCGTGCGCGTGTGCAAAGCCGACATTGTTGCCGCCATGTTCTTGCTTGCAAGCACTTCGTTCGACAGCATCGCCTGCACACATTCAGCAGCCGCGCTCAAACGTTAGACTGCGTCTTCAGGGAGGGCAAGGACATGTACACACCTGCACGAACACACACAGGCACAGACACAGGCACGTGCAACACAGCATGCAGCCAGTGGACCTTTGTTTCGGTGAGGACGAGGTTGAGTCTTCGCTCACGCTCGGTCACGGCGCTCTTGTATTCGCCAAACGCCGCTTGCAGTTGCCTGTGGGATGCGGGGCATGGAGGCATGGAGGCATGGGCGAAATGAGTGGCGGGAGAACAAAAAAGGCGCGATATCATCAAGTCAAACAAGGAAAGTGCAAATACAACACAACACACAATACAACACAACACACAATACAACACAACACAACACGCACACAATACACGCGCGCAAAGTTGTGCCCATCATGCACCTGAGCTGATCCTGCGCATCTTCAAGGCGACGCCTGTAATCATCATTGTCACGCTTCAACGTGTCAAGTGTTGCTGCTGCTGCTTCGTCACTCTCAACGCCATTGGTGGTTGCAGAAGGTGCGCTGCTCACTACGTTTGTCGTCAGCAGCCTTGTTGACTCTTGTCGTTGTTGTTGTTGTTGTTGTTGTTGTTGTTGTTGTTGTTGTGGTGGTGGTGGTGGTGGTGGTTGTTGTTGTTGTTGTGATGCGTCTGGGAGCCTCTGGTTGAGTGTTGCCTGTTGCGCGGCAGCTGGCTCATCGTTTGTTGCTGTCGAAACCTCCTCACGACCAGGAGCCGTTGCGTCACGCAAAGTATTCACATTGCCGTCGTCCTCAGCACCACTGCGCTCGCCTTCCTGTAGTCTCTGCTCAGGAATGGCCTCCAGCACAGCACCGCCAGTGCCGTATTTGTTGCCGCCGTCCACGCTATCTCCCGTCATCTGCTTCTCGTCATCATCTTGAGGCGAGACAGCCATCATTGCTGTCACTGCCGATCGTGTTGATGGCGGTGGTGGTGTTGTTCCTGGTTCAACACCACCGGCCACACGTGTTGCTTCGCGCTTCAACTTTGTCGCTGGTGACGTCGCTGTTGTCATTGTTGCCGTGGGTGCACGAGGCGATGTGCGTGCATGCAATCGCGGTGATATTCTTCCATCTCCATCACCACGACCACCATCGCGACCACCATGACACTCGCCTTCACCACCATCCGTCCCTGTCCCCAGTCGCTTCTCACTGCCGCGCTGCGAGCTCGTGCGCGAGAGAATAGAGTCTTCACTGCCGGAAGCGCTTCTGCTCTCAAACACAGCAATGGCCTTCAGGACGGCGCCCTTCGTCTGGTCGGGGAACGATGCGCTCACTCGCCTGCGGCCCTGCTGTTGCTGTTTGTCCCGCTGCTGCTGCTCCCTCTGCTCTCGCTGCCGGCGCCGCTGATATGCCCGCCCCTCAAGCAGCGGCGAGGTCGCCTGCATGGTGTGCAGTGTTTGTGTGCATGTGCGTGTGTTTGTGTTTGTGGTTGTACGTATGTGTGTTGTGATGCGGTGTTTGTGTGCGTGTACGTGTACGTGTACGTGTACGTGTAGCAAGATGTGTGAGTTGCTGTTGGCCGCTGTTCAACGCCTCAAACCAGATAACAGTTGAGCCAGTGACCAATGCATCACAAACAGAGCACAACAAAACAACCACACAGTTGATGCAAACCCCATTACACACATACGCGAGCAAGGTGTGCCCACCTTCACGCCAGCAAAGCCCGAGAGGCGCTGCCGCTCCTGCCAGCGATCGTGCGTGCTCAGCTCGCGCTTGTCCTGGTGCTGCGAGCGCGTGATGTATGTGCGACGCGGGGCCGGCCCAAGGTTCGCCGTCACCACGTCCTGCACCTCTTTGGACATCTTGCGCAGTTGCGCCTCGGCACGTGCGCTCAGCGGCGTGTCGCGCCCAGCAGCGTGCACAGACGTCGGTGATGGCGGTGCCATCATGGCTGGTGACGGCGAGCGGGCAGTGGGGCGACTGCGAACAGCGGTGCGCCCGCCCGAGCGATCAAATCGAGACAGCGGGGCAGATGGTGCCGTCTTGGATTGCACTGCCGATGCGGCTGTTTTCTCATCTGCCGATGAAGTCTCGGTCGTCGGTGCGGGCGAAGTGCTTGTGACTGTGGCCGTCGCTGATGGGGATGACGTGTTCTCCGGTGGTGGTGCTGCTGTTCTCATCAGCGGTTGCGTCGTCGTGTCCTCGTCCGGAGCAATCGAGGACGGTGATAGCGCAAGAGACAGCGGCGGTGGCGGTGCGCGTTGCAGTTCTGCATGCACGTCCTCCACAAACACGTCGTCATCACTGGTGCCATCGTCACCAGCAGTCGTGTTCGTGGTCGCGTTCATGCCACTCCCAGCGGTCACTGTGGTGTCGAGCGCGCTGGGTGTTGTGGCGTCCACACGACCCACGGCACGGCTGAAGCTTGGGGTCGGGGTTGCATCTGCGGATTTGTTGTTGGGGTGAGAGGCTGCCTTGTCTGCTGGTGTTGGCGTCACCACATCCTCGGAAACAATAGCGGCGAGTGCGCTATCTTCTTCATCATGTGCAGTGTTGTCAGTGGTGCTGTCGGTGGTGCTGTTGGATGTGTCAGCGCCTGCATGAGCAGCGCCATCATCCACACAACTGCCCTGCACTGCCTTATCGCTACCATCATGGTGTTCTTTGGTCTTACTGCCCTCTCCGTGTTGAGTGAGCACCGCCTTCCCTCCTCGCTCACTTGCCGCTGCATCAGCACCAGATCCCAAGTGTTGTTGTTGTTGTTGTTGTTGTTGTTGCTGCTGCTGTGCCTGCAAGTCTACTCTTTGCGTGGCTGCTGCGACTGTTGGTGTTGCGTCGTGGCCAGCCATCACGTGTGACGTGGCATCGCTCCCAAGAATATCAGCAACTGTCACATCATCACCACCATCACCGCTGCCCGCAAGAGCCGGCATGGGAGCGCTTGCAGCGGACAAGCGCTGTGCATCTGGCCGTTTCCTGAACGACGCCCGCAGTGTGCGTGCCTTTGTCGACAGACTCGACACCAGCGTCTGCACCATAAGGGGTAAGGTGTTTGCGCGGGTAGAGGGTGAGGACGTGCATGTGCGTGCGTGTGTGTGTGTGTCTGGGTGAGTGGAAGTGTGCAAGTGTGTGTGTGTTCTTGTGTTCTTTCTTGTGTTGCTGTGCTTGTGTCGCCGCTCGTGTGTTCTCACCCGCATCTTCGCGTCGTCCTCATGCACAAGATCCATCAGCGTCTCTCCAATGTTCGTCTAGCGTGACAACAGAACACACGTCGACATGTGCACACGCATACACTCGTGTCAGCGCAGAGGCATACATGTATATGCATGAAACGCCACAGCCACACCAATGGCAAGGAAGGCGTGTACCCACGCAGACACGCACATGCACGCACGCACACACACACAGAGGCAAGCGCAATCTCACAACTGAACACAAGTAAGCAGACACACACACACATACACACAGAGGCAAGCGCAATCTCACAGCTGAACACAAGTAAGTAGACACACACACACACACACACACACACGCCACCCAGTATCATCACCTTTGCGTGGATATCGGCGCCTGCGCTGACGAGGGAGAGGACGGCATCGACGTTGCCCCAGACAACAGCAACGTGCAGTGGAGTCATGCCATCTTCATCAACAACATTAACGTCGGCATCGTTGTTGAGAAGATACTCCACCACGTCGTTGTATCCGTGGCACGTGGCAACATGGAGCATGGTGGCACCGCGAGCGCCAGATGCGTTGAGTTGTTCCTCCACATCGGTGCCCTCGCCCCCACGCACAATGCGCTGTGCGTCGCTCAGCAGCTGCAGGCGCTGTCTGCTCTTGATCTCCGCCAGTGTGGCCATGCTGATGCCTGCGCGGGTAGGTAATGGAGATTGTCAAAACAGTCAAGTGAGCAGCACAACACACACAGAGCATCCCCACGCCCCCACACGCACACATGTATTTGCAAGTATGCGAACACATGCCAACACGTGAAAACCCACCCACCCACCCACACGCGCACACACGCACGCACGCACACACACACACACACACACAACACACACACAACACACACACACACAACACACACACACACACGTACGCACACACACACACACACGTACGCACACACACACACACGCGCGCGCGCGCACCTCGTTGTACTGCAGCTTGCTGGAAGAGCGTGAGCAGCTCTTGTCGTGTCCTGTCGTCAACGTTTGCAGTCTCGGCACAGTCCATGGCTGTTTCGTTGTCCACGTTGAGCAGGGTGAGACTTGCACCTCGCTGCAGCAGCAGTCTGTCACAGCAGCAGTAGCACAAGTACATGTGACTGTGAGCTGTTACACGCACGGTCAGAAACACTAGCAGAGCAGAGGACACCAGCATCACGCCATGGAATATCCTCCCGCAAACAGAGTGCAGGCTTCACGTCAGGGTACGCATGGAGAACGCAGACGCATGAGAGTACAGGCAGGCAGACAGGCAGACAGGCAGACACACAGACACGCTTATACATCCACAAGTACGCACACACGCTTATACATACACAAGTACGCACACATGCTTATACAGTCACAAACACGCACACACGCTTATACAGTCACAAACACGCATACTCATGCACACAGGCGGCGACGGACCTGCAAGCATCCACTTGACCGTTTGATGCGGCGCCGTGGAGGGGCGTCCAGGCCTCGTTGTCCTTGATGTCGATACTCGCGCCAGCGTCGAGGAGGAGAGCGATGAGATCGACCCTGTTATCAATGGCTGCTTGGTGCAGCGGCCTCAGCCCGTCATGGTTGCCGGCATCGGGATCTGCACCGTCCGCCAACAGCGCTCTGAGCTCCTCCGTGTCGCCGTCTGTGGCTGCAGCCAGCAGCGCCACGTCCAAGGGAAACACAACCCGCTTCTTGTGTCTGTTCTTGTGTTTTGCGCTGGTATGTTGTGCCTCTGTCTCTGCTGGCAGCACCAAGAGGCCATTGTCGTCCGAGGCGTGACCGCTGCTGCTTTCGGTCCTGCCACTTGCAGCCTTCAGCACGCTGTCCCCCTGCATCTTGGCTGAGCTCGCCACAGTGCTCTTCTTGTTTCTGCGTTTCAGCGATCACCAGCGCAGCACTTGCTCACAGTCTCTTCTTTTTCCCTTCACGTCCCTGTCACACACACACACACACACACACACACACACACTGTCTATCTCTCTGTCTCTCTGTCTCTCTGTCTCTCTGTCTTGCTCGCTGGCTGGCTGGTTGGCTGGCTGGCTGTCTGTTTGCCTTCTTCACTTCTTCTTGGTTGCGGAAAAAAAAAGCTGGTCTTCCAAAAAAACGGTTGGTGGCGATTGTATGGGCGGCCGTCGAATTTGGCACAAATTTGCCATTTGTACAAGATATCCACCAATCCTCCACACCACACGTGTAGTGCAGCCATCGTTGTGTTCACTCTCTCGCTCACTCACCACTGCAAGCAAACGCACGTTGCGCCTCTTCCATCAGCACAGTACAACAACAACACAGCCAGTTGTCACCATGATGTTCTGGGGTCTCGTGGTGTCACCTCACAAGGTACGTGCATGTACGTGTACGCGTGTGTGTGTGTGTGCGTGTGTGCGCTTGTAGAACTCGCCTTGCTCAAAAAGCAGCGCACCCACTGCTCAGCCACTGTTTTCGCGCGCTTGTTGTTTCGTCTCCACACACACACACACACACACACACACACACACACACACACACACACACACACACACACACACACACACACACACACACACAATCACAAACGCACGCACGCACGCACGCACGCACGCACGCGCTCATACACACAATTATACACAAACACAATCACACACGCACGCACGCGCTCATACACACACACAATCACGCACGCACGCACGCGCTCATACACACACACACACACAACTACAGGTGTACAAGAAGATTGTTGATGAGCCATTCGTGATCAGCCAGGCATGCGTGGACCTGTCTGCCCCCGAGGGCGCGCGCGTTGCGCTCAAGGTCAAGGTGGATGACGCCGAGCACATTGCGTGCATTCTCACGGCGGGAAAGACAGACACCATGCGTCTCACACTCGCATTTGCCGAGGGCCAGGACATTGAGTTCTCCATCGTCGGCGAGCACGACGTGCATCTCACAGGTGGGTGTCTTGGTTGTGTGTGTGTGTGTGTGTGTGCGTTAGCGCGTGCATTTATGCGCTTCAGCCTCGGTTTGCGTGTGTCGTATGCACCCGCATTGTGTAGGCGCGTGTTTGTCCTTCTCTTGACCTCCCTGCCACCCTCTCTCGACTTTGTACGTCTCTGCCACGCTCTCTCTGTGCCCATTTGTCCTGATCACCACTCATTATCTGGTGCGCCATCGTGTGCTCGCTCGCTCACGGGCACCCCAGGCCACGTGATCCAGTCTGAACCCATGGGCGAGGACCTGTACGACGAAGACCTCCTGGATGAGGATGAGCGTGAGCTGGAAGAGGACGAGGACGAGGACGACATGAGCGACTTTATCGACGACCGTGACCTCGATGAGGATGAGGAGGATGAGGAAGAGGAGGAGGAAGAGGAAGATGAGGAGGAGTCTGATGATGAGGAGGAGGAAGAGGAGGAGCAGCCAACAAAGAAGGCCAAGGTGAACCAGCAGAAGAAGCAGAAGGAGGCTGAGAAGCAGGCCCAGCAGAAGAAGCAGAAGGAGGCTGAGAAGCAGGCCCAGCAGAAGAAGCAGAAGGAGGCAGAGGCAAAGAAGAAGGCGGCGCAGGAGGAGGCAAAGAAGCAGGAGGAGGCAAAGAAGAAGCTCAAGGAGCAGCTGAAGAAGGAGAAGGACGCCAAGCAGAAGAAGCAGCAGCAAGAGCAGGACAAGCCCAAGCGCCGCACCCTCAAGGGCGGTACGTTTAATCACAGCCGCACGTGCTTCTCCCCGTGGTCGTGTTGGCCGTGTTACACAAACCCTGCGCCATACCGGGATGATGTTGTGCATAGCGTTTCTGCTGCACCTGACCTCCATTTTTTTCTCGTCTGTGTGCATCTGTGTGTTTGTGTGCTTGTATTGTGGCAGGTGTTGTTGCGACTGAGCTTCGCGCGGGCAAGGGCGCTGCGTGCAAGCGCGGGCAGAAGGTGGCGATGCGCTACATTGGGCGGCTGAAGAAGAACAACCGCGAGTTTGACCGCACACATGGCAAGTCCACCTTTGCCTTCCGCCTCGGCAGCGGCGAGGTCATCAAGGGGTAAGTTCATGGCAACCGCCACCGTGCTGCCGCTGCCGCTATTGTTGTTGTTGTAGAACCACAAACAAAGGGTTCAGGCATGTTATTCTTGCAGAGGCATGCGCGAAGTGCTAGCAACCTGCACGCAAGCAACGCACAAAGGACACGCGGGTTTGCGAACACCTTGCTTGTATCACCACGCTCCACGTTCACACACACACACACACACACACACACACACACACACACACACACACACACACACACACACACACACATGTGCGTGGTGCAGCTGGGACATTGGCGTTGAGGGCATGAAGATTGGAGAGAAGCGGCGCCTGGAGCTTCCAGCGGCGTGCGGATACGGGCGCCAGGGCGCACCCCCAGACATCCCGCCAAACGCTGACCTTGTCTTCGAGGTCGAGCTCGTCAAGATCATGCGCAAGTGACCATGTACCTGCGCGTGTTTGGATAACAACCAACATGTTGGTTGGTTGGTGGGATTGATGGATGGATGGTTGGTTGGTTGGTTGGTTGGTTGATCGATCGGAGGGGGGAGGTGGCAGCGCTGTCTGAAACAGCATAAAGTGTAGCAATATCGACCAAACCAAAAGGAAAACAACAACAAGCCACGATGGTGTGCTGTGTGGGTGTGCTGTGTGTTGTGTGTTGGGGTTGCTCGCCCTTGCTCGCCTTTGCTCAACTTGGTGACCACTCATGCCACTTGAAACGCTTACTGCGTACGTACAGAGCCGGCCAGCGTACAGCGTGGGCAACGCGTCTGCAGTGCAGCATGTGCCTCGCAAGCACCTGAGCCTGGAGAAGGTCGTGTTCTCTGAGGGCATCTTCAGCTTCTGCATCGGTCAAGTCAAAGACAAGGTGGGAAGCATGTGTGTGTGTGCAGTGTGTGTATGTGGGTGTGGGGGGGGTGCAGAGAGTGTGTGTACATAGTGGGTGTATGCATGTGGTTACCTCTGTGCGCGTGCGTGTGTTCCAGTCTTGCTACATTGTCAGCCATCTTTGGTTTCGCTCGTGTTTCACCACCACTTTCACCACTTTCACCGTTACTATTTTACTTCATTTTGCTTGTTCGTTGTGTGAAGACGACCATCCCCGTGTTGGCTCTTGTTGTGTCAGAGAAAGGCCATGACGCTCACCGGCAACACTTGCTCAAGGTAGTGCGCATCTGTGTGTGTGTCATGACGCACGATGTTATTGACCCTCACCTAGTAGTACTTGCAGTGTTGGCTAACCAGCAACTTCACGTTCCCTTGTTCTTTTTGGTGTTTTGTGCAGGAGGCTGCCTTGCTCAGCAAGCTCAACCACCCCAATGTGATGGCAGTGCATGGCGTTGTTGTCTCCGAACCTCCTTACACGCTGCTCCTTGAGGAAGCCAACCATGGGTGCGTCTTGTGTGTGTGTGTGTGTGTGTGTGTGTGTGTGTGTGTGTGTGTGTGTGTGTGTGTGTGTGTGTGTGCTGGCGTTTGCACGCGTGTCTGCACGTGTGTGCACTTGAAGGATTGCAACTGTTCTGTGCTCATCATTCACACACACGCACACACTGAGAAACGTGCTGCTGACACTCCCGTGACGTGTATGTGCCCATACAGAACCGTGCAATCGTACTTCATGACACACGCAGACCTGGACGTTGCTCTGCTTCGCAAGTTTGCCCGCGAAGTCTGCAGCGCCCTCAATTACCTCGGCAGGTGTGTGTATGTATGTGTATGTATGTGTGCATGTGTGTTTGTGTGTGCGTGTGTGTGTGCGTGTGTGTGTGTGTGCGTGTGTGTGCGTGTGTGTGTGTGTGGCCACGACACACAAGTTGCCCTGTGTGAGTATCCCTAGCTCTCATTCATCCTGCTTGATGGTTGCGTTGCTTGCTTGTTGTCACGTGGGGCACTGCTCACACACGTCGGTTCGTGTGCTCCTCATCAGAGTCAACTGCGTCCACTGGGATGTGGCGTCGCGCAACGTGTTTCTCACCTCCAAGCTCACCTGCAAGCTGGGCAGCTTTGGCCGCGAAAAGGTTGGAGAGGGAACAGAGACTCGCGGAGCCGCTTGGCCATCATGTTGTTAATGGCGTCTTTGCACCTTGACACCAGGCAGTGAATTCACCACCACATGGGTCCACACACACACACACACACGCACACACACACACACGCACACACACACACACATATACACACACACACATACACACACACACACACACACACACACACACTCACACACACCTATCCCTCTGTCAGCGGATGACGGACCGTGCGCCCAACGGATACTACACGGCGCCAAGTGGGGTGGTGCTGCGGCGGTGGTCCCCACCAGAGGTCGGCCTGAACGAGGGCAGTGTCAGACGCATTGCGCAGACGGAGGACATATGGGGGTATGGCATCTTCTTGTACGAGATCTTCACCCAATGTAAGCAAGAACGAGTGGTACGCACGCCAGCCAGGAAGAGAGGGTGTGTGTGTGTGTGTGTGTGTGTGTGTGGACGTGTGTGTGTGTGTGTGGACGTGGGTTTGCACGTGACCCGCGTTTGAGCAGCGTGTCTAACCGCTCACGGCGCCACACGCCGCTTGTGCCGACGGTGTTACTCATGACGCTTTGTGCCCTTGAAATCGCACACACACACACACACACACACACACACACACACACACACACACACACACACACACACACACACACACACACACACACACACACACCGCTTCCGCTGCGTCAGGTCGGATTCCGTATGGAGACGCGACGTGGACGGAGGAGCAGATGTATCTCGACACAATGATGGACGCGCAGGAGGGCTCGCTCCTGCCACAGGTCCGCAGACAAACTGGTCGCAAGAATGGCGTGTGTTCACGCACATTGTTGTTTGGGTGTGTATGCGGGGGTGTATTCGTGGGTCTGTGCAGA